TTATGCACCATTACCAACTGGGATTTATTGTGAAAATGGTTCAACATATGAAAATCAAACAATTCATTTTACCACTTTAATAGAATAAAGAGGAAAAAAGATCATCTCATCTGATGCAAAACAAGCATTTAATAAAAGTCAACATTTTCCATGATAAAAACAATCAAAAAACTAGGAATAGATGGAAAATTGTCCAATAAATGAAGTCATATGTGAAAAACCCACAGCTAACAGCCTAGTTGATGGTGAAATTCTGTAAGCTTTTCCCCTAAGCTCAGGAATAGAACAAAGATGCCCACTTTTGCCACTTCTAGTCAACACAATAATGGAAGTTCCAACAAAAGCAATTAGGCAGGAAAAATATATAAAAGCCATTCAAATTGGAAAGAAAAAAGTAAAACTCTCTTGTTTGTACATGACATGAATTTTTATGTAGCAGTTCTAAAGATTCCAACATTTAAAAGCATTAGAGTTAATAAATAAATCCAGCAAATTTTTGAGATATAAAGTCAACACACAAAAATCAGTTGCTTTTGTACACACTAGTGACAAACAATCCAAAAAGGGAGTTAAGCTAGCAATTTCATCTGTAATAGGTACAAAAAGTGTAAAATACTTAGGAGTAAATTTCACCATGGAAATGAAAGACTAGTGCATCAAAAAGCACAAAACATTGCTGAAAGAAATTAAAGAAGACATTAATAAATGAACAAAACATCCTGTTATTATGGATTGGGAGACTTAATATTGTTACAATGTCAATATTACCTGAAGAAACTACAACATTCTATACAATCCCTATTAAAATCTCAAAGACTGTTTTTTGCAGAACTAGAATGCCCCATTCTAAATTTCATATGAAATCTCAAGGAACCTCAATTCAGCAAACAATCTTGAAAAAGAAGCACATAATTTGTGGAGTCACATTTCCAGATTTAAAAACTTAATACAAAGCTACAATAATCAAAATAGTGTGGTACTCACTTTAAGAAACATATATAGACCAATGGCAATGAATAGAGAACCTAGAAATAAACCCTCACGTATATAGTCAAGTGATTTTTAACAAGGGTGTCAAGATCATTCAATGGACAAAGAACAGTGTTTTCAATACATGAATCTGAGGAAACTTGATATTCACATGCAAAAGAATGAAGCTGATCATTACCTTACACCATATACAAAAATGGTGTATAATCAAAGACCTAAATGTAAGAGCTAAAACTATAAAATTCTGAGAAAAACTCACAGGTGAAACATGACATTGAATTTGGCAATACTTTCTTGGATATGACACTGAAGGCAGCAAAAAAATATTTTAGAAATTTTAATCTTGACTTCATCAAGATTAAAACTTTCCTGCATCAGAGGATACTCTCAAGAGAGTGAAAAGACAATTTACAGAATGAGAGAAAACATTTGCAAAGCATATATCTCATAAGGGATATGTATCAAGAATACTTAAAGAAATCCTACTATTCAGCAACAAAATAACAAACAACTCAATTTTAAAATGAACAAAAGAATTGAATAGATGTTTCTCTAAAGAAGATATACAGATGGTCAATAAGCATGTGAAACAATGTTCAACATTACTAATAATTGGGAAAATGCAAATTGAAACCACAGTGAGATACCCCTACATATCCTGTAGGATGGCTGTTACCAAAAACAAAACAAAACAAAACAAGTGAAAATAAGGGTTGGTAAAATGTTGAGAAAGTGAAACTCTTGTGCATTGCTGATAGGAGTGCAAAAATGGTGGAATCTCGGTGGAAACACTAGTGTTTTTAAAAAAGTTTTTTTAACTCTTTGTTATTTTCTTAAGTTAAACGTAGAATTTTTTATATGATCCAATAAATCCACTCTTAGGTGTATACCCTAAATAATTAAAAGCAGAAGTTCATGCATACAATTGTCCATCAATGTTCATAGCACCATTATTCTCAATAACAAAAGGTAGTAGAAACAACCCAAAATTTCATCAACTGATGAATGTATAAGGAAAATGTGGTGTGTGTGTGTGTGTGTATATAAACGGAATACAACTCAGCTGTAAGAAAGAATGAAAATTTGCAGCAACATGGATGGACTTGGAAGGCATTGTGCTAAGTGACGCAAGTCAGACAAAGACAAATACTGTATGATATCACTTATATGTGGAATCTAAAGAATACAACAAACTAGTTAATATAACAAGAAAGAAACAGACTCACAGACATAGAGAAAAAACTAGTGGTTACCAGCAGGGAGAGAGAAGGTGGGAGGGGCCATATAGGTGTAGGTGATTCAGAGTTACAAATTATTATATATAAAACAAGCTACAAGGATATACTGTACAACACCAGAAATGTAGTCAATATTTTATAACTATAAATGGAGTATAACCTTTAAAAATTGTGAATCACTATATTGTACACCTGTAATTTATGTAATATTTTTCAGCACCTATATTTCAATAAAAAGGGGTAGTATAAACAACCCAAAATTCCATTAATGGATGAAAGGATAAACAAAATGTGATATATATATATATTCATATATATACACATATACACATAAATATATATGAAATATGTATTAAATATATTCAATATATTTCAGCCCTAAAACACAATGATATTCTGACACCTTCCACAGCATATATGAACATTAAAAATATGCTCAGTGAAATAAGCTAGATTCAAAAGGAAAATAGATGATTCCACTTATAGGAAGTCCATAGAATAGGCAAATTCACAGAGAAAAAGTAGAATACCGGTTACCAGTGGCTGCAGGGAAGGAGAACTGGGGAGTTCTAGCTTAATGGATACAGAGTTTCTGCTACAGATGTTGAAAAAGTTCTGGAAATGTATACTGGTGATGGCTTCACAACATTGTGAAGGAACATAGTGCCACTTTGTAACTTTCAAAATAGTTAAAATGGTAAATTTCATGTTATGTATATTTCACTGCAATAAAAGATGTGAACCGAAATAAGATGATTGTCCCATGCAGAGCCTTTGAATTGGACTAAATAGCTCAAAAGGAAATAAAATGTGTGGTTCTGAACGCTGATACATTTGAAAAACCTACAAGTGAATGGGGAGATGGGACCATGGAGGCAAGCAAGGAAACAGTAAACTCCAAAATCGTGTTTTTAAAAAAATTGTGTGGTTGACTATGTTTGGACAATGAGTTATGAGTTGAAGGGACATAAGTCACTGCTGGGCCAATCATTTAACTACAGTTGCAAGTTTTCCAGGTTCATTTCACAGCCTCGCTGACTAACAAGTTTCTGGAGATACAGAGAAATGTAAACACATTCCATCTTCTCTGAAATGTCCTATTAAACAGGCATGGGTCTAACTGCAGAGATATAAACCAGAGGAGCAGGCTGTTGTGGCACCACAAGCAAATCCTGTGTTCTTTTCTATTTCTTCCCTACTCCTTAGGGAGAAAATTTGTGGTTCACCTTTGCAGAGTGTGAGCTGGTAAACCCACCCACTAAGCACTGTTTCTAACCAATCATGCCACCTAAGGAGGGCACATACTATTACAGGGCAGGTCCTGTGATGTGTCAAGAATATCAAGTGATTTGGGTTTTTAAGTCTGGAGAAGAAGAGTGAGGTCAGGGAAGCTGAACTGCTAAGACAAAAATGGGAAGAAATATGAAAGAACGTTGGAGGGAGAAATGAAAGGAGAGGAGGAGAAAAGAGGGATCAGAGGGTTGAGAGGAGCCAGGAGGTAGCAAAAACTCTACAATCTGTGTATCAATAATTCTCCTATTACCTCTCTGGTCTAGGCCTTTCCCCTGAACTCTGGACTTGTATGTCCAACTATCCACTCATCATCTTCTTTGGATAGAAATAAACATCCCACAGTTAACACATCTAAAACTGAACTGAATTTCCACTACACCCTCTATATCTCACCTGAATCCCCTTTCTTCTTCCAGATGCTCAGGTCTCAAAACCCTGGAGCTTTTCTCTCCCACCACAAATCCTACACATCAAGAAATCCTGTTGCCTCCTCTTCGGCGTGCATCCAGAATCTGAACTCCTTCTCTTATCTCTACTAGGTACTCTCCAGGTGCAACCCACTTTTACGTTTTTTTGAATGAATGTCATGACCTCAAATGCTCTAGTTGCCTCTGTCTGTGTCCTCTGCAGTCTATTCTCAACGAAATGCTAGAATAAATTAAAACTCATGTTAGATCATGTCACTTCTCCCTTCAAAACTTTGCAATAGCAACAATTTCACTCAGAGCAAAAGGCCAAATCCTTCAACACAGGAGGATGATTCTACTTTCAGGACCTTTGCACATGCTGTTTCCTGTCAGGAAGTCTCCTCCCCCAGATAACCACATGGCTCACTCCAGAACCTTCTTTCAATCTTGGCTTACATTTCCCCTTCTAAGTGATGCCCCCCCCGCAACAAGACTACCAGGCTTAAAATACATCCCATGCTACAGATTCTCCAAATTCTGTCATCCGGCTAGTCTTTTTCTTTTTTTTTTTTAACACTTATCACTTTCTAATATACTACATTATTTACTTAATTATAAGTCTATTGTTTATTGTCAGATCTTCCACTAAGATAAATACCCATGCAGGCAACTACTTTGACTTTTATTCACCAAGGCACCCCACATTCCTGTAAGAGTTCCTGGCATATAGTAGTATGCAAAAAATATATGTATGTTGTGGGATTGCCCAGTGTGACATCTCCCTGAGGCATTTAATTCTAAGTGGGTAATCTCTGTGAAAATTATGTCAGAAACTGAGTTTCCCATGTAGATGAGTTGGTGAAAAACAAAAAGGAACTTGCATGTATGCAGGAAGCAGAAGAGCCCAGAAAAAGGCAAACCACAAACCCTCTTCCCCACACTCCACCCTTCTACACACCCATTGGTAGAAACGGAAGAAATCTCATGGGATGGAAGCAGGGCCACAGTATCAAGAAGAGCAATTGTTAAAATCATGAGCTCTAGTATGAGATTGCTTGAGTTCAAATCATACCTCTGCCATGTACCACTGAGTGACCTTGAACTTCTCCTTGCTCAGTTTTCTTATCTGTAAGGTAGGGGTGACAAGAGGATCGAACTTGGATATAATGATTACATGAGTTAACAGCTGTGGGGATTTCCAGCAGTGTCTGGCATACGATGAGTGTTCAAGAAAATGAATAGTTATTACTCATTAGATTTCTTGAAGCATGGAGGCTTCAAATAGCATTCAATGATATAGCTATAGATAGTTATAGATATGGATATAAATATAATTACAGATACAGATATGGATATGAATATATAGGTCATATAGGCAAGAGTCTCTGTGTCTTTGATAACCCCTTTTCTTCCTCACCCCTATCCAGCATGGAAGAGTGGACTCCAAGATAGTAATGCACAAAATTCTACTCATTTACCAGGAGAGAAGTTTTCTTGTCTTGGGTGTGGGTAAGGGGTAGATTTATAGAGAAGTAGAAAAGGAGGGATGTTGCTGAAATACAGCAAATACTAAACATCTGATCATGTCATCTCATGTACACTGAAAAATGATTTAAGGGAAAAATAAGGAAGTCTTTTTGAAATCCAATGTGTCTGGGAACAATTCCTCACACCCACTTATACACATATATACACACACGCACACATTAATACGTGCATCCACAAACATGTATTAAAGTGTAACCTAGTATGCTAGTGTACTGGTTGTTGTGAGGATCAAATGAAATTAACACACATGTTAAAAGCTTAGTGAAAAAAAATTTAACACATAGAAAAACCATCCAACACATCATTGACAAAAATTTGGGAGTACACATTGCAAGATTTGAACTCTGCTGTTCTCCGAGTGGCATGATGGGTGATGATAAATCTATTGTTTCCTTCTCAGAATTTTCTGATTTTTCTTCCATTGGCTTTCTCTGAGAAGCTGAGCAGCACAACATGGTTAAAAGAATCAACTCTGGAGCTGTATGGCCTGGACAGGAATCCTGTGCTCCACTGCCTTAGATAGGTGATGTCAGGCAAGTTACTGTCCCTGCCTCAGTTTCCCCATCTGCAAATCAGGGATAATAGTCATAGCTGCCACACTGGGATGTTGTGAGGATTAAACAAGCTAATACACACAAAGCTGTCATTGTTGGTGTTTGAAGCATCATCTGTTTCAATGCCTCTGGTAACCAGCTGCAGGCAATGGATCCACAGAGAAAATGCTCAGATCCCTGATTTCATGCTCTTGAATAATGCCCAGTCCTTGGACTTCTGTGGACTTCTGCCCAGGTGGCACACCCATGTTTACATTTAAGACCTAAAAGTGCAGGGGCAGGGGGAGGTCCAGGGGCCAGGGAAAGGGGATTCTACCCCAAGGAATGCTTACCTGTGAGTCCCAGCAGTAGAGTCAGCAGCAGGCAAGGAGGAGGATGGTTGGACAAAGAGACAGGGATGGGCATCGTGGAAGCCTGCTCTGTCCAAATGTGTGTCCTGGGGAGAACCTGCACTTCTGTGCTCTGTGGAAAGGAAGGAAGCCCCACCTCCCAATGATGTAAGAGGAAGTGCCTATGATGGGGTGAAATGGCTGTGAGATCTTAATCCGCTTCTAGGTTCTAGACAGTTCCTGCTTCAGATGGTGAAATGGAAATCAGGCAGAGAAGTCAGATGGAAAGTGAGGAGTTACTCATCTTATGTTTTCAGACGGATTGGACAAGCCTAACAGAAATAAACTTGCTCCCTACTTGGGGTCTCTGTTCTCTCCACTGGGCCCCTCACTCCAGTCATGGTGAACCCCTATTTGGAAGCCCCAGGCAAACTCACAGATCCCAAGAAAGATCTGTGGTTGTGGGCTGTGTTCCAAAGTCCCAAGCCCAGGAGGCTAGGATGTGTCTGGCTTGTGGCCTCATTCTGGAACCTACCTCAACAAAGACCAACTCAACTGAAACAAGGAAGAGGGTTCTCCAGGGCCTCTCAAATATGGGGTGGAACTAGATCTCCTCCTGAAATGACTTTCTATTCCAACCCTTTATTGATATAACTGGTAAAACTTAGCCCAAAAGCACAGTGCAATGAGGATCTCAGAACTTGTATCACCTGCATCTAAAAAAGGAATCGTTTCCTACTTCTTTCAGGAGAGGAAGTGGGTTATAGGACCCAGAAATTACACTCCCAGGCATTTATCTAAGAGAAATGAAAACTATGTCCACACAAAACTGGTGCAGATATGTTATAGCAAATTTCTTTGTAAAGCAAAAAACTGGAAAAAAATTAAAATGTCTCACAACAAGTGAACAGTTTAACAAACTGTGGTGCATCCATAGCAGGAAATACTACTCAGCAGTATAAAGGAATAAGCTATATATGTGTGTAACAACTGAAAGTCTCTTGAAGGCATTATGTTGAGTAAACAAAGACAATCTCATAATATCAATTCCACTGATATAACAGTCTCAAAATTATATATAGGGAGAAAACAGAATGGCATTTGCCAGAGGTTTGGTTTGCTGGGGATGTGTCACTTTAAAGGGCTAGCACATGGGAGACTTTGTGGTCTTGGAATGTTCTGCATCCTGACCATGGTGGTGGTTACACAAACATACACACAAGAGGATCAACGTGAAACAAAACTGAGAATGTTACAAACTCAGCTATTATTAAGAATTTCATAGACATAATAACATAGACACTGTCTATTAAGTTATCCAAAACTATGCTTATTTTAGGATGATAAGGATATAAAATGTGTGTATGTGTCATGAGGTCAGGAGTAACAAAACATTACATACCCATCTTCCATAGTGAGATATCAATAAATAATGCCTAAGAGTGAGAAAACAAGAAGTGCTATAGAAGCATGCTGTATGACATTTGACATTGAAACCTAAAATAATCAGTTAAAAGATTTGAAAGTCGTTTCTTCTCCGAGGTGGGAAATGGCAGAAGGTTAGAGAGACTCAAGTTTTCATATGTAGAACTTGTAGAACTATTTGTCTTATAAATCATTTGGATATGAATCTTTGATAAAGACGAAACTAATTTGGATGATTGGATTAAAGTTAACAGAGTTACACACACAAAAATGCCCTTACAATTAGCAATGCTGAGAGTTTTGTAAGCTTGCTGGATCAAATATTGATGATCTACCTCAATTACAATCAGTAGTCAAAACTAGTGAAAGCAGTAATAATAATTTTTAAAGATTACATAAACTACAAATTATTAAAGATAGCTGTAACTAAAGATGCATAAGACCATTAGGGGGAAAAATTGTAAAACTATGAATTTAAAATTACTTTAAAATGGAATAAATGGAATTATATCATATCCATGAATGAGAAAACTCAATATTGGAAAAGATTTCAATTTTCCCAAATTAATATATAAATTCAATGTAATCAAATAATAATTCTAAAATGGTTTTTCATGAAACTTGAAAGAGTGATTCTAAAATGCATTTGGAGACTGAAACTAAGGGGATGAGAAAGAGAAATCATACAAATGGAAATGCCAAGAAAACAGGGGTATCAATGCTCATATCAGACAAAATAGACTTTAAGGAAATGCTATAACAAAAGACAAAGGAGGGATTGGTTCAAATGGCAGAGCAGAAGGACGTGTGCTCACTCCCTCTTGCAAGAGGACCAGAATCACAACTAACTGCTGAACAATCATTGACAGGAAGACACTGGAACTCAAAAAGAAATATACCCCACATCCTAAAACAAAGGACAAGCAGCAATGAGATGGTAGGAGGGATGCAATCACAATAAAATCAAATCCTATAACCACTGGATGGGCGACCCAGAAACTGGAGAACAATTATACTACAGAAGTCCACCCACTGGAGTGAAGGTTGTGAGCCCCACATCAGTCTTCCCAACCTGGGGTTCTGGCAACGAGAGAAGGAATTCCTAGAGAATCAGGCTTTGAAGTCTAGTGGGATTTAATTGCAGGACTTCAACAGGACTGGGGGAAACAGAGACTCCACTCTTGGAGAGCACACACACAAACTAGTGTGAAAATCAGGACCCAGGGGGAAGGAGCAGTGACCCCAAAGGAGACTGAACCAGACATACCTGCTAATGTTGGAGGGTCTCCTAAAGAGGTGGGGTGTGGCTGTGGCTCACCACAGGGACAAGGACACTGGCAGCAGAAGTTCTGGGAAGTACTCCTTGGCATTAGCCTTCCTGGAATCCACCATTAGCTCCACCAAAGAGGCTGTAGCCTCCAGTGCTAGGGCACCTCAGGCCAAACAACCACCAGGGAGGGAACTCAGCCCCACCCACCAGCAGAGAAGTGGATTAAAGTTTTACTGATCTCTGCCCACCTGAGCAACACACAGCTCTAACCCACCTCCAGTCCCTCCCATCAGGAAGCTTACACAAGCCTCTTAGATAGACTCATCCACCAGAGGACAGACAGCAGAAGCAAGAAGAACCACAGTCTTGCAGCCTGTGGAATGAAAACCACATTCACAGAAAGATAGACAAAATGAAAAGGCAGAGGACTATGTACCAGATGAAGGAACAAGATAAAACCCCAGAAAAACAACTAAATGAAGTGCAGATAGGCAACCTTCCAGAAAAGGAATTCAGAATAATGATAGTGAAGATGATCCAGGACCTCGGAAAAAGAATGAGGCAAAGATCGAGAAGATGCAAGA